GAAAGTTGAAGAACGAATACCGAACATCACAGAAGCTAGCAAATAAACATCGGACATTTTCCAAAGAAAATATTTGCTACAATTACATTGTCCTGGGGAAAATTGTTTAAAATTTAACACTATGTATGTGACTTCATTTGCTACACAAAAAGTTTTTCCTGTTATTGAAGGTGACTCTGATCCTTGAACACCAGTGAATTTCATAGTTGTGTTGTCGTATTCTTCTGTAGCAGCTGAAAACTACTTTGAGTAAAATTAACAATAAGTACAGTGTGACCCGGATATAAGAGACCCGGATATAAGAGAAACTCGGATATAAGAGAGATTTTCTCTGGTCCCAAATTAGAGCCTATGTATATAAAATAGACCAAACCCGGATATAAGAGAAACCCGGATATAAGAGACTTCTTCTCTGGTCCCGACAACTCTCTTACATCCGGGTTACACTGAATATTGTAATAGAGAGACCTTGAAAAAGACTACGGCGAAAAGGGAAGTAATATTAATAATGCAGTGGGCTAAATGTTAAAAAATATATTAAGCAAACAATAACAGTTCACTTCGACGTTATCAGGTAATTATTAAAAAGCTGGTCTCGTTACAGTGTGATTAATGAGAAATTCCATTATTACGGTATCAAGAGAAATGCCCAAGCGCTAGTCGTAACGGACAGACATCATATTACCATACAAACGAATGTTAAAAACTTCAGATAATAATAAAATTAAATAATAAATGAATAAACAAGCATTCCCCGTTTATTACTCTGCCCGAATCAATAGTTCTTGCTTTGTTTTCTGACAATCGTTAATAATTTGATCTCGTTACAGAGTAATTAATGAGACAATCAGTTATTATTGCAACGAAAATAAAGCCAAGCGCGATTCGAAGCGAGGAAACGCCATATAACCGTAACAACGGAAGTTAAAATTAAAAATGGACCCAGCATGTGAGCAATGGCGAAGTTTGAGTGAAAATTGAAGCAAAAAGGTCACTAATACTTAACATCAGGAAAATTCTAGGGGACATAATGAGGAAAGAGGGCTTGGAAAATTTGATACTCACAGAACAGTTTGAAGACAAGAGGAACAGAGGAAAACAAACGTATACCCCACCGAGCGTGAATTAGAATGTTAATAACATAGACGGTATAAAACATTCACAGATATATGATCCCAAATATATTTTCATAAATGTAAGATGTTATTTTTTATAATCAGATTTCTGTAACCACACCTGGATAACCATTCCTAAAGAGGCTTACGGCTACATCTCGCTGAATCACCAGTTCTTGTACGATTACTGAAGTTAAACAACGTCGAGACTGGTCAGTACCTAGATGGGTAACCGCTTGGGAACTTTGATGTGCGGGTGGTGTAATGGATAGTGGATTGGAATTGTTAATTGGAGAGCCGGTTTCCGATTTTCATTGGGTTTGTTGTATTCGCTTAAGCGGAATTGCCCTTTGGAAAGTTATGAATCTACCTCTTCTACAACCGAAAGGTAATGGGTAATTAGTGAGAGTTTATTACTACAACATTATTATCTGAAAAAAAAAAAAAAACAAACAACCTTACAATCTAAAAATATTTTCTGGCTTTAAATAACCTGCAAAGCGTTAATAAGTCGCAGAAAACGAATCATTCAATCAACTATTCCCCGAAAGATCTCTATATTTTCGCTTTCCTTGAAAACGTGAAAATCGTTTTTTTTCAAAAAACTCAAAAAGGCAAAAATACAAAATGAAAATGTGCGTACAAACATATGCAGATAACTTTAAGCACGAGCAAATACACGTTTCTTTAATAAACGGACGCAATTTTCGACGGATTTGCACCAAAATTTACATGCACATGCTCCAAGTTAGCGTGAAGACCGACTTTGTATTTCCCAGCTCCCATCGATCGTGGAAATAATCGATTTTTTCATGCTTCTAAGGTAGTTTTCATGTAGTTTGCGTGCATTTTCTACTGGCCAGAGTAAGAGCCTATAGCTGGCTGCCACAAATAGGCAGGAAGATTCTATTGGCCAGCGTGAGAGCCAACAGCTGACTGAGACGAATATTAACTAGCATGCTAGCATGCCAAAAATAATAATAATAATAATAATAATAATAATAATTTACTAAATCTAAACCCGGGCTCTTTTAAGGTTTCAATTTTTACATCTTGGCATAGAGCCTGGCAACACTTATCTCCTCAGTTTTTAACGTGAACATTAGTAAGGTGAACATTAGTAAAGTTTTATCCACAACTGTAGATAAAGATCTTAACATTTGAATCGCTTATTGATATGAAACTATAGGACCAATGTTATTTCATTTACTGTTGCCGTATTTGGGCAGGAGGCTGTCTAGTCCACACTTTCCAGTCTTGACAGAGTTCAACAGCATCTCCGCGTACTTGTTGGAGAATAATTATTCGAACCTTTCCAACCTTTCTCTCACAGGCGTAAAGTGGCGAGTCTCTCACTACTCTATCGTTATTACTATGGAAAGTGCTCGGATGAACTGCTTCGCCTGGTTCTACGAGAGTTAACCTTCACGGCTAGGAGCCGCTCTACCACTTACATAGTAGCTAACCAATCACGTTCCCCTCCATATTGCATCGGTGAGAAGTAAGTTCCACGGAAACAGTTTCTTCCCGCTTAACCACTGCTCGATGGAACAGATTCCCAAGAGGATGTTTCCTCAATCACTACAATCTTGACCTGTTCGGGAGTTAACCGTTATCTTTCACTCCTATCGATTATTCTTA